TCTCTTTAATTAGCATTCAGTTTTAAGTTTCTATTAATAATACTGAAAATGCCATCCATGTAAAACTCACCAATAACTTTATTTTCCCTTTTATAGACATGTGCTGGCCAGCACTAGTAGGAAAGCTGTTGCTTTAGCCTTGGCTTTTTACTGGTTCTAGAGATTTATTTGTTTTTCTTGTTGGTTGTCAGAACCTGCCTGCATGGGCTTTGCTAATAGCAAAAGTGGATAAGATGATCCTCTGAGAGTAAATTTTTTCTGTTTATGTTGAAGCTCAGGTTTTTGGAGGGTGGAGTCTCATTTGTAAAGTATGATAAAAGTCATTACAAAAAATGATTTGACTTCAATAAGACCTCAATGTCTATTTTCCTAAATTAGACTTGGTACATGGTTTTCTCGAAGGAGTAAAAATAAAAATATTTCTTCATCTTCTCATTCAGGACCTTGTTCATAAGTAACAGAAGCTTGTCAAAGATCATATTGTAAATGAAAAGAATAAAAATAAAATATTTTTTTCAGTTAAGCTTAGCAGTTCTTTTGGTTTAGCAGTTCTTATTAAAGCATCATTAAAACCTATACAAATCTAGAATAGATCTGTTCTCTAATTTCTTCAACAACCTTTTTTTATGAAGCACCAATTTATACCCATTTATATCTTAGACTAGACATTGTCAAACTACAGCCCATTGCCAAATCTGGCCCACAACCTGTTTTTGTGTCTCTGGAGGCAAAAATGGGTTTTACACATTTTTAAAAAATTGAAATATAGTTGATATGTAATGTGGTTTTTACGTTTTTTTTTTAAATTTTTTAACTTTGACATCATTAATGTACAATTACTTGAACAATGTTATGGTTACTAGACTCCCCCCAATATCAAGTCCCCCCCCACATACTCCATTATATCAACATAGTTAGATGCTATAGAATCATTACTTGTCTTCTCTGTATATACTGCCTTTTCTGTGTCCACCCCTGACATTATGTGTGCTAATCATAATGCCCCATTTCCCCCTTATCCCTCCCTTCCGACCCACCCTCTCCAGTCCCTTTCCTGTTGGTAACTGTTAGTCCATTCTTGGGTTCTGTGAGTCTGCTGCTGTTTTGTTCCTTCAGTTTTTGCTTTGTTCTTATATTCCACAGATGAGTGAAATCATTTGATACTTTTCTTTCTCCACCTGGCTTATTTCACTGAGCATAATACCCTCTAGCTCCATCCATGTTGTTGCAAATGTAGGATTTGTTTCTTCTTATGGCTGAATAATATACCATTGTATATATGTGCCACATCTTCTTTATCCATTCATCTACTGATGGACACTTAGGTTGCTTCCACTTCTTGGCTATTGTAAATAGTGCTGTGGTAAACATAGGGGTGCATATGTCTTTTTCAAACTGGGCTGCTGCATTCTTAGGGTAAATTCCTAGGAGTGGGATTCCTCAGTCAAATGGTATTTCTATTTTGAGTTTTTTGAGGAACCTCCATACTGCTTTCCACAATGGTTGAACTAGTTTACATTCCCACCAGCAGTGTAGGAGGGTTCCCCTTTCTCCACAACCTTGCCAACATTTGTTGTTGTTTGTCTTTTGTATGTTGGCCATCCTAACTGATGTGAGGTGATACCTCATTGTGGTTTTAATTTGCATTTCTCTGATGATTAGCGATGTGGAGCATCTTTTCATGTGCCTGTTGGCCATCTGAATTTCTTCTTTGGAGAAGTGTTGGTTCAGCTCCTCTGCCTATTTTTAATTGGCTTATTTGCTTTTTGTTTGTTGAGGTGCGTGAGCTCTTTATATAATTTGGATGTCAACCCCTTATCAGATATGTCTTTTATGAATATATTCTCCCATACTGTAGGATGCCTTTTTGTTCTACTGATAATATCCTTTGCTGTACAGAAGGTTTTAGTTTGATATAGTCCCACTTGTTCATTTTTGCTCTTGTTTCCTTTGCCCAGGGAGATATGTTCATAAAGAAGTTGCTCATGTTTATGTCCAAGAGATTTTTGCCTATGTCTTTTTCTAAGAGTTTTATGGTTTCATGACTTACATTCAGGTCTTTGATCCATTTTGAGTTTACTCTTGTGTGCAGGGTTAGACAATAATCCAGTTTCATTCTCTTACATGTAGCTGTCCAGTTTTGCCAACACCAGCTGTTGAAGAGGCTGTCATTTCCCCGTTGTATGTCCATGGCCCCTTTATCGAATATTAGTTGTCCATATATGTTTTTGGGTTAATGTTTGGAGTCTCTATTCTGTTCCACTGGTCTGTGTGTCTGTTCTTGTGCCAGTACCAAATTGTCTGGTTTTTACGGTTTTTAAGATGCTGCAATATTGTAGAGATTGTTTGTGGCCCATAAAGCCTAAAGTAATTACCTATGTCCCTTTACAGAACAAATTTGTCTTAGATTATAATACATAATGTACATACAGTTATTTATAAATGGTGTGCAGTCCTTTTGAATTAGCATCATCTTCAGCTAGAAAAATGTTTTGCTGTAATCTCTTTATAGATCCTACATTTTTATAGGAATTCAGTGAATTTGTTAGATTTTATAGTTGGTGTGGACCTTTATTTCAAGGGCCAAATTTGTATGCATCACAACATAAGACTACTAGTTTGGGCTTTAGAGTGAAAGAGACAGAGAGTGAGTTTGTGCTTACTCTTGTGCTTGCTCTTGGGTGTGTGCAGGTTTGTGATACAGCCTTAGAGGTGGTAATGAATTTGAATATTGCCATTTCTCTGTAGACACATTTTTTCATTGATACCTTTGCCTACCACATAGAGAAAGTTTTTTGAGGCTGTACTTTGATGTTGCATTGGGTTGTATGGTTGGTTTGGCTGAAAGTTTTAATAGTGGTGGACAGCTGCTGGCAAAAATTCCCTGGACGAATGTTTGTCATTTATTGTGTTTTATTGATTCTAAAACATACTCTTTATTGTTTACCTTAACATCTTTGAAATCAGGATGTATCTTAAATTTTTTTTTTGGTATCATTAATCTACAAGGTATCTTAAATTTTAAAACATTATTATATTTGGCAGTTTTTTCCCCTACTGGTACATAAAATAATGATGCATCTTAAAATCAGTAAGGTGTGGTTCATGTATTCTTCTCATTTATGTTACTCTTTAGTGCATCATTTTCTTGTTCCTTATATTGATTCCACTCCTTCTTACTTATTTGGTACTATAGCCAAAATTCATTATTCTGGAAATCTCTCGTCCTTTAAGGGTTTGTTTTGGGAGTTAATTAGGAGATTTTTATTTTGTGTTAGATCATAAGCACTGACATCCATATCTAGTCCACAGAGCAATTTAGGAAAATGAACAGTTAACAGAGAGTTTTGAGTATCACAATATCCTGATCTGTTACTCTTAGTTAACAGATGGCCTGCAACCTGGTCTTTTATATTAGTTACTGTTTTGCCGAATATGCTTAGAAGAACATTAACCAGAAAATCTGTTTAGGTTTAGCCTTAGCTTAGATTTTCTTGGATGCTTGCAACTGGGAACAGTCTGTGAATTTATAGTAATATCCTGTTGAGGAGAAATAATTAGAAATTGCATAGTACTTGTTTTTTTGGACCTTCAGTCTCCCAAGGTAAACTACTTTGTATTACAAAGACAGTAAATTTTTAAAAGCTTATTTCAGTGGAGCATCACAAGTCAGTAACTTCAGAAAAGGCAAGCAAAATAAAAGGTGAAGGTGAGGATTAATGTCAACTTTAAACATACAGGCTTAAGTTTTTTCTTTGTCAGTGTTAAGGTGATTTTTAAAATACTAACATCCAAGTATCTCAGGTAAATGAAATCAGAATGGCTGGGAGTGGTCACTGGCACTGAATTTGTTTTTATCCTTTAAGGTGCTGTTTATTTCAGAAGGAATATATTTGTAGATTTACCCACATAATTAGCACTTTCTTTGCTCCTCATGCCTTCTGTGTATCTGATCATCCATCCGGGATCACTTTCCTTCTGCCTACAGTACATTCTTTAAAGTGTCTTTCAGTGAGGGCCTCTTTGGTGGCCAGCTGTCAGGTTTTGTTTGGAAATTGTCAGGGTTTGTTCATTCTACCCTATTCTTAAAAGATATTTTTGTTGGGTCTAGGTATCAGTTATCTTTTTCTGGGTAACAAGCCATCCCAAATTTAATGACCCAAAAGCAACAACAATTTCCCCATATACTGGTGGGTCAGCAGTTAGGGCAGGGCTGAGTGGCATGGTTTATCTTTGATTTATGTGATGTCAGGTCTGCTCATTCATTATTTATAGTCACTTGTTAGGTCAGCTGGGGGCTGGATAGTCCCAGATGGGCTCACTTATATGTCTGCTGATTTGCTAGGGTGAGAGAGGCAACTGGGCAGTGTATCTGTAGTCATCAAGCTGGTTAGCCTAAACTCCTTCCCTTGATGGCTAGGTTCAAGAAGCAATAGAGAAATGGCAAGTTGCAATGAACAAAACACATTTCAAGCCTCTGCTGTCATATTTCCTAATGTCTAATTGATCAGAGCAAGTCAGGTGGCCAAGCCCAGATTAAAAAGGTGGAGGAATTAGACTCCACATCTTGATGGGAGGAATGACTATGACACTTTCAAAGGGGTGTGCATAAAAAATGAGAAATATCTGTGGCCTAAGAAAAGTCTGTCACAAAATAGAATTTGAGGTTGGAATATATTTTCTTTTAGCATGTTTTCTTCTCCCCACTGATAGCTTCTTTTCAGATTCTTCTCAGTTCTGATGGCTTCTTTTCAGATTTTTGCTGTTGTGGTCTCTCATTCACTGATATGTCTAGGCATGAATTTTCCTTTTTTAAGTCTGGCTTAGGCTTCATTGAGTTTTCTTATCATTTAGTATCTTTTATCCTTTCTGGAAAATTCTCAGTCATTATCTCCCTCCATCCCATTCTTGCTTTACTTCTAGAACTTTAATTAAGTCTTTTTACATCTGTCATTTTTTTTCCTGTAAAGGTTTTATTATGCACAGGGAGGGGAGAGGGCTCAGTCCTTGGCAACTGCTTTCCTCCTGGCAGCCAGGACATTCTTTAGCTCCTCATGCTTCCTCCATGCATGGGTGTGTGTCTCCACTCTTTTCTTGAAGAACTTGCGGGCCTGCTTGTCCTTAGAGACCTTGAATAGTTCCAAAGCACTCTGTTCATGTGAGGCAAGGCCTCATACCTGTTGGATGTCCTATAGGGACTTGGTGTGCTTGGTGAGGCGTCCATAGCAGTGGCTGTGCCTCAGCGTGCTGTTGTTCTTGGTCAGCTTATGGCCCTTGTTGAGGCCCATGGCCATGGGGTAGCACAGAACTAGAGCTGCTGTGGCAGAAGGCTACCTATTAACTTGTCTTTCTGCTGTAGTCTGGATAATTTCTTTTGACTAACCTTCCAGTTTTCTAGTTTTTCCTTCAGTTATACCCAGATACTTAGCTCTTTCCACATTGTTTTAAACTAAATTACTATAGTTCACTTTATTTAAGTGTAATTTGCATACAGTAATATTTGCTCTTTTTTGTGTGTATGTACAGTCTGAGTTTTAACAAATGCATAGATTCATTGCTTTTATCTACTATCTATGTTTTTGACAATATCACACTCTTAATTACTGTTGTTTTATAGTAAGTCTTGAATCAGGTAGTACGAGTCTTCTAACTTTCTTTTTCAAAATTATTAGGCTCTTCCAGTTCTAATCTGCTAGATCACTTTTTATATTTTCCTGTGCCCTGAAGATTTTTTGCAAGTTTGTCTTATATCTTTAACTTAAAAAAATTTTTTTTTAGTTGAAATTATACCATATTGATTTCAGATGAACAACTTAGTGATTCATCAACTATATACATTATTAAATACTCACTATGATAAGTATAGTTACCATCTGTCACCATGCAAAGATATTCTTTCACTTTGATTGTACTATAAGGTTCCATTGGACCCAGTTTTAGTTCTTTACTTTCTTTTTTGAAAAATAACATTTGTGAAGACTGATAGGATCCTATTCTTTTTTAGAAGTCTTTGAAAGAACAAAGAAAAATTGCTTTTCAATCTTTCATTTACCATTTGGATGCATCTGACCCTTTTATAATTTTAAAATACCATCTTTGTAATTTAAG